AAGCAGAAGAAACAGCGTTAGCGATAGCACGCAGCCTTGTGGTACACCAGCATTAATAGGCTTGCAATCGGAGCTTGCACCGTCTACAACAACCTTGATGCTCCGATCTGCAAGAAAGCTGGTTATCCAATCGCACAATTTCTCGGGAAGCCCATAGAAAGGGAGCTTCGAAAGAAGCGGTTTGTGCCAAACCCGATCGAAGGCCTTCGCAATGTCCAAACTAACAGCCAATGCCACCCCTTGGACTCTACTGTGTGCGCCCATCTATGAGTTAGGTAGACCAGAAGACCACCAGCTGACCGAATACAGCGAAAACCGTATTGGCGGTCACTTATCAGCTGATGATCCTCAAGGTACCTCATGAGCTCGCAGTTTACAATAGACCCCTTTGTTTTGGAGAACAAGGAGGTGATGGCGATAGGCCGGTAGTTGGACGGGTCTGAGCAGTCGCATTTTTTAGGGATCGGGTGGACGAAAGCCATCTTCCATGATATTGGGACTACGCCTAGGGAGTAGGAGTACCGGAAAAGACGTGTCAAAACCGGTGCCAACTCTGGAGCACACGTCCTCAGCACAATTGGGGGGATTCCGTCAGGCCCACTTGACTTGTGGCTGTCCAGGGAGAGGAGTGCTTTGCGAACCGAGTGCTGTGTGAACTGTACTTCCGGCATGGAGCACTCACACCGCGGGTTAGTCGGCGGCGTACTTCCCACGTCATCGACAGTCGAGTTGGACGCAAAGAAAGAGCCTAGAAGATCGGCTTTCTCCTTTGCGGTATGGGCCAGTGAGTCGTGCTCCCTGTGCAGAGATGGAAGAGATGGCTGACAGAAATTCCCCTGGACAGCCTTGACGAGAGACAAGAATGCACGGGTTCCAGAAGGAAGGCGAACTAGTTTCACGCCAATTCTGCCTATGTGCTCTGACTTTGCCTTGGCAATGACTCTTTTGAAGGACCTAGAGGCGGAATTATACCTATTTTTTATAGCGCTGGTGTTTAGATCCCGGGACGTTGATGTGTCAGCCCAGGCTCGGTAGCACTCCTGCTTATAGCATGATGCTATTTTACAGGAGCGACCAAACCATGGCTGAGATTTGCCTCCAATGGGCACCACAGAGGAAGGAATAAAAAGTTCCATACCCTAAAGTACCACATCAGCGACAGAATCCGCAACAACGTTGGGATCGTCCGGCGAGAACAAACCCGCCCCCAAGGGTAGGATGCAAAGAAAGACGACATCCCATCCCAATCGGCTGACCTATAGTGCCAAACACGGCGGCAGCCTGCAGAATGCAACTGTGATTTCAGCGTGAGTGGTACCACACTCCGGACAAGACAATGGTCCGAGGAACCTAAAGGGGCTTCGACGAAAATCTGATATCCGTCCGGATGGGAGGTCAGCAGAAGGTCCACCAGGGAAGGTGCATGATCTTCCACATCTGGAATCCGCGTAGGCGAAGTAACCAGTTGTGTCAGACCATATGCCAAGCCAAAATCATGAACAGATCTCCCTGCAAGATCGGTTAAACGTGAACCAAGCCATTCGGCGTGATGGGCGTTAAAGTCGCCGAGGATCACAATCTCTGCGGAGGGGATCTGCTGTAGCAACGAATCTGTAGCCATTTGGACGCGGTCGAAGAGTCGGTCTGTTTCGGCATTACCGCTAAGGGACTTATAGAGGCACCCGTAGACGCGCGGATGGTCGTCGCTGTCTACGCGTAGCTAAAGGATGGACAGGTCCGAACTTTCAAGTCTGCCGAAGAATTGTCTACAATCACAACACGAAATACAGCAGCATTAGGCTATTATTTTACGCTGGTATTCTGCGAGAGCGTGGTCTTTCCACGTTTGAGCTGACCCATTCGGTCTACAATTATACTACTGATATAACTGCAGCATGGCTCTACCACGTAACCTTTCTGTCTAGAAGTACGCTTGAATATACTTTTTACATAATTGTATTTTGATCTAAATATAATGGAAAACATTATTTAACTATGTATGGCAGTCAATTCATCTTTATTCCTTAAAGGTGTCAACGCTTCTTAAAACTTTTTTGTTCGAAGTTGATCACAGGTGTCCTTAGGGTAGAGTAATAAAATATTACATAAAAACTCGCTCATTGTAATTGTACGTATAATGATTATATGACGGTCATAGATTATTTTCTTTTAATAAAAAGGGGACAAGCAAGCACATAGTCCACCTGATGGTAAATGGATGCTCTGGTACATAGACACTTACATTTGTCCGCGAATAAGAAACAAAATACAGATGCGTTGTAAGCCCTGAGAAATAAAATGGAATGCCTCGTTTGCAGTTATAAGGGCTCAGGTAAATTATTTGATTAAAATTATTTTGCATCGATCAAGTTAATACTACATACGCAAAATGAGTATTCTATGCGATTAGGCTCCAGCCTGACGCTGAAAAAACATGAAATTTTAATAATTTTGGGTTATATTGCACTTTTTTCTCAAGAAACATGACTATTTTGAAGTGGTCAAACTTTTCTTCAATATATATAGTCGCAGGAAAAAAAATAAGCACTATGTTCAATGACCTCAATAGTGCCCCACAGCGGATAGGTCCTAAGATGAACATGGATAAAACAAAGATCACGTATAACGTCCATGTCACACTTATGCCGGTAGTTGTTAGGAGTAAAAGCTCGAAGTTGTTGACAAGCATGTTTACCTGGAACAAACAATCCCACTAGGTAAGTCCATCTTTGACCGAGACGTCGATTGACGGCTCATTTATAAGTTTATCTGAGTGATAAACTTATAAATGAGGATATCCGCAGTAGAACCAGAGTGACCGACATAGCCAACAGATTAGTAAGCTGAAGTGGCAATGGGCCGGCCATATAGCTTAATAAACTGACAACCGATGAGGCAAAAGGTGCAAATGGGTCAGGACTGTGCTCTGTGGTGTTTCTTGGTGGAGGCAGTAGTTACGTTGTACCAGTTCTGGCTCACTGAGTGAGAAGTGGTACAAGTGCGACGTTCGTCGACTCACGATCCTAAAAAAAAAGAAGGTTTTGGCATGCTCTGATCACGAATCTGCGGTCCATTTTTGCGTAGGATGCACGGTTCCGGAGATGTGCAGATCAATTAACTCTTATCTAATTGATATCCGGTGATGGCCTCCATCGTCAATAGCGTTCCATTGTTCTTATCTATTGTTCATTGAATACCATCATTATCTATTATTCGTCAGCGTGTGCGTCGACTCATCAGTGCTATTGTATTATACTCCTTTGTTCCTATCTAAAACACTAATCTGAATCAACAATAAAACACATTACCTAATTTTGTTAAAATTTTTATTTATAAAATACAAAATCTTATTACTTATTATCTATAAAATAGGAGCAAAACATCTCATCCACTAAAATATCGTTGTACAATGTAATCCCTGTAAATATACTCGTAAAGCTATGCATTGAACATCCCTGAAACTTATATAGCAAATACATTAAGCAATATTCGCCACAAACTGAAGTCCACTCATTCTGAATCCTATCAACATTCCAGTTCCATCTTTTACAATTCCTTTTTAAAAACTCTAGATGATATCGTACAGGTGCTCGTCCATATAAATCAAAATATTGACCGACGTCATTCGTATCGATATATAAAGCTACCCAATGTGACCCTGGTTTATCATCTGTACCCAAATTGCATATTACCTAGTCAGGTCATAAATTCTATCACATGTTTAATATAAAATAATTGAAACAAGTTTATTCATTATGTAACCAGTTACGAGTATATACCAAAATGAACTTAACAAAACATAGATTCTAATGACACTATAGTTTATTCAAAATGACCTCCGTGATTTTGAATACAGGCCTTCAATCTGCGCGGCCTGTCGTCTATCGCAGCACGAACGAGGTCCATGTCAATATCGGCGGCTGCCTTAATCAAGGATGTCTTGAGTGACTCCAAATTGGGATGAGGCTTTGAGCACGCCTTTTCCTCCAAGTGTTGCCATATCTTGTAATCTAACGGATTCAAATCTGAACTGGAGGAGGGCCAGTCTTCGTGCCGGATGAAGTCGATTTCACGCGCCGCCAGCCAGTCTTGTGTGCTTTTCGCTCTATGAGCTGACGCCGAATCTTGTTGGAATACCCAGTGCCTGTTATTGAACATGGTATGAGAAACAGGTTACACAAGGTTCGTCAGAACTGTATTTTGATAAACAACTGCATTAGTTTTTACACCTTTCTCACAAAAATGTACCTCTATTAAGCCCCAATAAGAAACTCCCAACCATACCATTAGTGAGGATGGAAAATGACCTCGTTGTACACACAGAATACGGTTGCTCGCTTTTTCACTATTGTGTACGTACACCTTATCATTTTGTTTGTTGTAGCTCTCTTCTACGGTAAAAAATTTTTCATCCGAAAAAAGAATTTCCCGATATTTTTTCCCGCGTACCGCTTCAACAAAGCGCGGCATCTCTACAGTCTCAGGTCCATTAGACGAGCATTCAAGCGATGTCATGTTTTTCTTCGATATGCCCGAAGCCCTAAGTCTTCAATTAACACCCTTTTCACCGTGGTTCTGCTTAACCCGCGAGCACTCGCGCGGGGTGCTGACAGCACCCCAGAGATTTTCAAACGTAAAAATTAATGCCTATTTGTTTGTTCATGAGCGTATGCGTCTAAATAGCTTCAAATAACAATCAACCGCGACGAATCGAGGTGAGAGGAGCAGTGTGGCGATTGCGCTTGCAACGCAAGGACGTGTCAAAGTTTGCGTGGGGTGCTCACAACACCCCGCGAGTTCTCGTGCGATATTTTTCATATTTACTAAAACAGCAAGGTAAGTTGTTTTTAACCTTTTTTTCATTAGAATTTAGTGTAAATATATGTAAGTTATCTGATTTATGTGTGAACAATAATAATAGACATGAATATTAGATATTTTTGTGTGTAAGTACCTACTACTATTTACATTTCAATGTTTTTATTTCATTTTCTTCTCAGATGAGTTGGGAATCTAAGCAAGCAAGCTGGAGAGCTATGTTGGAAGCTGTGATGTCGGACAATGAAGACAACGTTGCCGTCGAAAGTGATGCCAGCATCGATGATGATTACGTTGAAGAATCTGATCATGATTCAATGTCAGAGCAAAATGCTTCATCGTCAGAAGAATCTGAGGCAGAAGAGACTGAAACTCAGGAACGCTTCTTCTTAGCTAAGGATAAAATTACTAAGTGGTTCAAAGTAAAGGGACGTACTGCAGTAAGAACCCGTTCTCAAAATATAATGTCTGAAGCCCCAGGTCCAAAAGGTATGGCTAAGTTTTCTAAATCTCCACTTGAGTGTTTTCAACTTTATGTTACCGATAATATGATAGCAGAGATAACCACTTGCACAAATACGTATATTGAGAAAATTAGCAGTAAATACGCACGTGAAAGAGATTGCAAAAAGACCGATCAAACGGAAATAGAAGCTTTGATTGGTTTACTAATCCTGTCTGGGTTGTGTAAGTCTAGTCATAGAAAGCTTCAAGATTTGTGGGATGAGTCTAGATTAGGCATTGCAATTTTTCACAAAACTATGAGCTACAACAGGTTTTCTTTCCTTCTAAAATGTTTGCGCTTTGATGATGTAAATACTCGTGAGTCAAGAAATGCTACAGACAGATTTTCCCCAATCAGAAACATTTTTACGCAATTCAACAATCATTGTATTGAAAATTATAGTCTCAACGAAAACTTCACGATAGATGAACAATTACTGAAATTTCGGGGGCGCTGTATTTTTCGGCAATATATACCAAGTAAGCCCGGGCGATATGGTTTGAAAAATTTTGCATTATGCGATGCAAAGACATTTTACACTTATCAAAGTGAGCCATATCTAGGTCAACAACCAAATGGACCTTACAAAGTGAGCTACAAGCCAACCGATATAGTAATGCGATTATGTACACCGATTTTAGGTTCTGGAAGGAATCTGACTTGTGATAATTGGTATACTAACCTCCCGTTAGCAGAAGAACTGTTGAAAAATAAAATAACGGTGGTAGGCACACTGCGAAAAAATAAAAAAAGAGTTACCCACAGCTTTTGTCAACCAACGAAAAGTTGGAACTTCTATATTCGGGTTTCACTACAAGTTGCCATTAACTCTTGTATCATATTGTCCTAAACAGAAAAAAAAATGTATTACTAATATCTACAATGCATGACAATAATGACAACATTATCACAACAGCCACTAAGGAGCAAAAACCAGAAATAGTCTTATTCTACAATGAAACAAAAGGTGGCGTTGATACGGCTGACCAAATGTGTGGTAACTATAGTGTTTCAAGGATATGTTCACGATGGCCACTGAGGTTTTTTTTTCACATTCTGGATACTTCTGGTATCAATGCTTATGTTATCCATAATTGTAACGTCGCGCAAACCCAACCAAAAATGGAACGAACTGAGTTTTTGGAATCTGTTGGTTTGAGTATGGTTCAAGGACAAATTCAAAAGAGATCTACTCAAGTTTCGTTACCGAGAGCACTCAAGAGAATGTTGAATGCTCCTGGGCTAAGTTCTGAAGGAGTGTCACCGACAAAAAAGCAGCGATGCATAGTTTGTCCTCGTTCCAAAGACATAAAAACAATGAGCCACTGTAATTTTTGTAAAAAATCTATGTGCCAAAAACATATGAAGTTTATTTGCGATTCGTGTAGTGAGAAATGAGAAACAATTTTGCAAACTCGTCAAGCACTCCTTATAATTGGTTTTTGATAAAAAAATATTTGTTAGAATGTAAGAAGTTAATTTTATTTAGTCTTTTTGAGGAATAGTCTCAATATTTTGAACAAAAAGTCTGATTATTATAATGTTTTGTAAAAAATAATTAAAAAACGATTATCAAAATTTCTATTTTGTATTTTATACCACAAACCATACAAAAGAACAAAATGTTTTCATAATTGCACTTACAGCAACCGTATGTCTATAAATCTAGTTCAAGTTTATGGGGTGGCCGCAACACCCCGCGAGTTCTCGCGGGGCTAAAAAACCGCGCGAGTGATCGAGGGTTAACCCCATCTGAAGGGCCAACAGTTTCTGCTTACGTTTGGGATTTCTTTAAATTCGCGTCTTCACAGCTTTTATCACTGCTGGAGTCCTAACAGACCGAGGGTGACCACTTCTTGACCTGTCATCTACACTAGAGTCTTCATTGTATCGTTTGATGGTACGATAAACGAATCTTTTGGTTATATTCAAATTTTTCAGTATGTCAAAAATTTAAATTGGGGGGTAACCGCAACGATGCAACGCAATAACTGCAACATGGTCTTCTTTAGCTAGCGTGCGTCCACTCCATATTTAAAAATGAGTAAAATTCTAAAAAGTATATAGTTTTATTTTCATGAACAATTCTAATTCAATAAACTTTTTTGTGTAACGAATTCAATAAACTTTTTTGTGTAACATAGTAAAAAAGAAAAGTTTTTACTGTGTGACAATACTTATGACCTGACTAGGTATATACGTTGGTACGTGGGTGTAAATGGGCAGTCTATTAGCAGCATAAACATTATTTTCTAGACTGGGGTGAATCTTTTTCAGATGTTGTTCTACATCTAGTGTATCCATGATATTACTGCTATTAGTAGATTATTACAGTAAAATCTACTCGATGACTAACATAGGAATGATCAATTATAGTGATTTCTGAATATTAAATTGCATTATTTTGTGTTATACAAAACGTATTTGAGTCATCAATACACTGAACAAGACGCGACAACGTAATGTTGAAATAAGCAACAAAATGTGAGATAAGCTTGTATATAGTTATTATTAATTCCACTGTAGAAATTCTTTAGATTAGAATTATTACTTACTGGTACTATATAAGACCAAGCAACTGCAGTCATAGAGTTAGTGTGTGGTTGTTTGAACGCAGTGGATCTATCAATACTACGTTTGTGTTACTTCAACGCATTAAAGGCCATAGATGTAAGTGTTTAATCTATTGACAAACTTACTTTTCTTTCTGTTATTTTCTTACGTGTGTATGATTTAGTGTTAACAAATTATATTTAAATATTGTGTGTGTGTATATTATTAAGCTGTGATAGCTCAGATGGTTAGCGCAAGCTGTAAATTTCACAGTACTCGACGTGGGTTCGATCCCCGCCGGCACCAATTAAATTGTTAATTGCAATTTTAAGTGTTTATTCTATTGACAAACTTACTTTTCTTTCTGTTATTTTCTTAAGTGTGTATGATTTTAGTGTTAACAAATTATATTTAAGTATTGTGTGTGTGTATATGATTAAGCCGTGGTAGCTCATATGGTTAGCGCAAGCTGTAAATTTCACATTACGCGACGTGGGTTCAATCTCCGCCGGCACCAATTAAATTGTGAATCGCAATTTTAAGTGTTTATTCTATTGACAAATTTACTTTTCTTTCTGTTATTTTCTTACGTGTGTATGATTTAGTGTTAACAAATTATATTTAAATATTGTGTGTGTATATGATTAAGCCGTGGTAGCTCAGATGGTTAGCGCAAGCTGTAAATTTCACAGTACACGACGCGGGTTCGATCCTCGCCGGCACCAATTAAATTGTTAATTGCAATTTTAAGTGCCAATTTAGCACGTGCTCGGCGGTGAAGGAAAACATCGTGAGGAAACCTGCACGTCTGAGAAAATTTCGAAGGCATGTGAAGTTCGCCAACACGCATTGAGGCCGCGCCGCGGACATTTCCTAGCCATAAATACAAAGACAATAGCAGAAAGTAAAAAAGTTAAAAAATACTTTTTAACAATGACAGTCATTAGTTGATCATTAGTGAATGTGATTCTGTTTACTTAAATTACAGGAAAACAAGAGCAGAAGGAAGAAATGAGATGATGGGAAGTAATGATGCATTGTTATGTGAAGTTTGTTGGAACAAACATATTTTTAGTCACGTGTGAATACTTTTAACATTTTGGTTCAAAATGACCCAAAATCTAAAAACTATTAGATACATCATCGATATGGACGGATTTTACATAACATATCCTCATAAAGATTTTCAATGTAGAGAAATGGCTATTCTAGATATAAAACTATCTAATAAAAATGATGCGTTTATCGATCGTTATTTGTTTCGGCCAAGTTATCCTTTCAATTATTTGTCGCCGAAAGACAAAAAACTGTTCGTTATTGTGAAACACACGTGCACGGCATTCCATATTTTGATGTGACCGAAGAATTAAAATGTGCCTACAAACAAGAGAACATAATTCCCATATTAAATTGGTATATTAGAAATTTGTGCAAAGACGAAGTGATCGCATACAAAGGTGGTTCAACAGAAAAACAATTTTTAAAAATGTTGACGACGAATGATAGAATTTTTAATATTGAAGAATACAAATGTCCAAAATACAATGATTTGGTAAATGTCATAAATTTAAACAAACGTTATATGTGTGTATGAGTATGATATGCTGATGTAAATAAACTATTATTAAAAGATGGTTATTTGTTGAGTTTCACCATCAAACATATTAAGATTTGGAATTCATTGATGATAGTTAACATTTGGTAAATTATATAAAGGTTACATTTCAGGTTAATTTCATTCTCGTACTGTGAAATTTACAGCTTGCGCTTACCATCGGAGCTACCACGGCTTAATCATATACACACACACAATATTTAAATATAATTAGTTAACACTAAAATCATACACACGTAAGAAAATAACAGAAAGAAAAGTAAGTTTGTCAATAGAATAAACACTTAAAATTGCAATTAACAATTTAATTGGTGCCGGCGGGGATCGAACCCACGTCGCGTACTGTGAAATTTACAGCTTGCGCTAACCATCTGAGCTACCACGGCTCAATCATATACACACATACAATATTTAAATATAATTTGTTAACACTAAATCATACACACGTAAGAAAATAACAGAAAGGAAAGTAAGTTTGTCAATAGATTAAACACTTACATCTCTGGCCTTTGATGCGTTGAAGTAACACAAATGTAGTATTGATAGATCCACTGCGGTCAAACGACCATACACTAACTCCATGACTGCAGTTGCTTGGTCTTATATAGTACCAGTAAGTAATAACTCTAATCTAAAGAATTTCTACGGTGGAATTGATATTAACTTTATGCCTCAACAAGCTTATTTATTTATTTACTTTACACTTTATTGTACGAAAGGTACAAACGGCGGACTTAATGCCATATGGCATTTTCTACCAGCCAACCGGAAAGTTAGTGGGAGATGCGTGTACTGCAGTGGGCTAGAATGAAACCTAAAATTGATAAATTTCACATACACATACACCTTCACCCCCCTCCACACACACACACACACCACACACATACATACTCATAGCTCAAACTTAATTAAATATATATAAGGATCTAATACATTAAATGTTATAGATTATTTATTTATTTTTGTGTCAGATGAACCCAAATAATGTTCCTTTACCTTTGTTTTAAAAATCCATTTGTTGGGAAATTTTCTTATTGCTAGGGGAAGCGCATTCCAGAGTCTTACAGCTGTAACAGCGAAAGAGTTTGAGAGGAAACCAGTACGGTGAGAGGGAGTATAGAGCACGAGATTGTTACGAGAGCGAAGATTGCAATCATGGGAAGAACCCAGGTATTGAAACTTACATTTCAAATACTCTGGGGCCAATGAATCGTTAAGAATAGTGAACAGAGTGCTAAGAATTCTAAGGCTCCTGCGTTGTGGGATATTTAACCATTTAAGTTGAAAGCGATAGAAAGAGATGTGGTCATACTTTCGAAGACCGTAAATGAAACGGATACAGTTGTTGAGAAGCCGATCCAATTTATTGACCAAGTATTTGTCTGCATCTAAGTAACACACATCAGCATAATCAAACATAGGAAGAATTAGCGATTGAATTAGAATTATTTTCGTACAAGGCGGTAAGATATTTTTATATATGTACAATTGTCTCAAAGTAGTACAAACTTTACGGCTAACTTCCTCAACATGACTGCGCCAAGTAAGTGAACAATCCAAGGTTAATCCCAAGTCCCTAACATTAGAGCTGTAAGGAATTACTTCGCCATTATAGATCAGAGGATCGAAAGATGTATGATTAAGTTTACCAAATTGACGTGCACTGCTTAAGACTATAGCTTGGCATTTACTTGGATTAACAGCGACCCCATACCTTCTTGACCAATTAACAATCCAGTTAAGATCGGAGTTAATCACGGTTACAGCATTATTTATGGAAGTAGCATCGGCATGAGCATAGAGTTGCAAGTCGCCGGCATACATATGGTAGGAAGCACGAAAATTACAAGTAATCATGTTAATAAATATAGAGAAAAGTAAAGGAGAGAGAATTCCACCTTGCGGAACACCAGTGGTTAATTCACCCCATCGGACACCATACCATCGACCTGAATCGCCTGCTGGCGACCACGAAGATAAGAGGAGACCCAATTCAGTGCTTGCTGACAAGGAAAAACCTATGTAAGACAAGATGGCGATGAGAATATCATGGTCAACGGTATTAAAGGCGTTAGAAAAATCTATTAAAACTAACACCGTCAACTTTCCAAACTCCATGCCATCACGCACATCCTCAGTTATTTTTAAAAGCGCCGTTGTAGTGCTATGTCCAGGTCGAAATCCTGATTGGTATTGATTCAGTAAGTTGCTTTTGGTTAAGTGAGTTTGTATCTCACATTTTGTTGCTTATCTCAATATTACGTCGTGTCGCGTCTTGTTCAGTGTATTGATTACTCAAATACGTTTTGTATAACAAAAAATAATGCAATTTAATATTTAGAAATCACTATAATTGATCATTCCTATGTTAGTCATGGAGTAGATTGTACTGTAATAATCTACTAATAGCAGTAATATCATGGATACACTAGATGTAGAACAACATCTGAAAAAGATTCGACCGCAGTCTAGAAAATAATGTTTATGCTGCTAATAGACTGCCCATTTACACCCACGTACCAACGTATATACCTAGTCAGATCATAAGTGT